ACTGAACACACCCGACTTTGTGTACGTTTTTACTAGGAAAAGGGATGTGGAATCAGTGTTTCGGCTCGCATTTCTCAGTAACAAAAGCAAACGAACTCATATTTTGGATTTGAGTATAACTTTACTAGGCCTTTCATTTGAGATAGAAAAATTAAAAATCGAAAGACTTTCCCTAGGCAACCATGCTTATACCCCATGGGTAGTCTTCAGTAGGGTGATCACGAAAAATGGTTTTTGCCTTTTCAAAGAAGCAAAATCAGAAAATATGGTCTAAAGAAAAATTGTAGCGCTTGAAATTCTCTATCGAATCATATATAGGAAAATACTTTGCAACATAATCTTGATTATGAAAACACGACTGGAAGCCGCTGCAGTGCAAAAAAGAGCTATCTGCAACAAGGTATTTACCACCAATTGGTACGATAAGAGTCTTCTTTCAAACTTGTTCAATATATATCGGGTAGAGGAAAGAATCCTCTATCGATTCATATATAAAAAGTTGTACTTTGGTGGTACTTTATGTCTGAAACCGGTCAAAAACGAGACACACCCCTGGACAAATTTTTGGTCAAAAATCTGGTCTTGTGACGGCTATAACTCGGGCTAGCTACATCAGACAAGCGTGAAAATTTGGGGATATATGTAAAAAACTATGCTCTATCGAATGAGAATATTAAATCGAAAAAGTAGAAACCGCGACCCCCCCCTTAATTAGTCACAACAGACTAACATATACTGTCTATGTAGATATATTTACTGAGTAAAAAAATAATGCTATCTTAGATTTATAAGAAAAATCGTGCCCCATCTCCATTTCAAAATCCTAGATAAAAGATGATGAAAACCGTTCATATGAATTAGCGGCATATTTTACACATTTACAATTACAACCAATACATAAAATAATGACATTAAAATCTGCACTTAATTGAGCATGTAAATTAAAAAGTTATAAAACTGCAACAAGTTTTGCGAAACGTTTATTAGAATTAGGACCAATACCTGATGTTGCTCAACAGGTATTTCGTCTTTTTCCTATTAAAAAAATAAGCCCATTGGTAATCAGTCTATTACTCCAATGAGAAGAAGTCCTAAGAGTCCAAATAATATACAGATCAGTTTGACCTCTACCCGCAAGTGATCTCTAACAATAAGTTTTTTTCAACAATAAGGCAGAGGTGCAGAATCTTCCTCGTGCGCCCTCGCGCAGGAGGGGAAATTTTTTGAAAAATTGCATTACTCGGGGAAATTTTGGAAAATTCCCAGACTGGGAAAATTTTGAAAAACTATTAGAAGGGAAAACCTTGGCCTCGTCATAATTAACTGTTACAGGATATAATTTATTCTTTCAAGCTTTTCGCTTTACTTATATGCTTTATTCTTGATCTTGCCAAGAACACACACATTGCTATCGAAGTATAACATCTTGGCAATTCTTTTGCCACAAATTTCTTTGCACCCTTTTATCGCTTGCTGTACTGTATCGTGACCGAAAGAAGAAATGTTAACGCTTTGTCCAACATGGATAATTCCATTATATGCTAGTTCTTTTCCTATATGTTGTGTTGGTTTTTTTAGTCCTGCCTCAACAACTACTTCTTTTAACTGAAGGACAAATATTGGATTTTCTTCAAAAAAACAGAACAACATCGTCTATTCAAATTAGTTTCACCTGGTTCAGTTGTTTTGAACCGCTTAAGACAAGAACAAGTAGCAAGAATTCGTATGTTGTACGAACAATAACAAACAGAACAAAATATTGCCATGTTTTTTTTTACTTATATTTTGGGACAAATAAAGTTGGTCTGTGAGCGGCGAAGAAAAAACAGCTTAGGGAAATTTTTGGAGAAAATTTCCGCGGAGGGGGAAATTTTTTATTTTTTGGAAGATTCTGCACCTCTGAGTTGATGATTGTCATCGTCATCGTTATCGCCGAATAATTCAATCTGATCGTGATCATTCTCGATCTTCAACAACATTAGAATCGAATTCGTCGAAATGAAGAATGTATTGAAAACAAAATTCTTTTCTGAATTATTATCAAACTTAGATATTGAATTAAATTGAAAAGAAAAAAATCATAAATATTCACCACAATGAGACCATTTCTATACATTATTCTTACGATTAAATGATTATTATTAAAGATCTTATTTACATAGAGATGTTATTACACAAGTATTATTGTTACAATAACAGACTTTTAATAATTGTTTTACAAGATTATCATTATTTGAGAAATCTTGAAGTATTTGCTATTTATTTACATAAAATTTTATCTCTTAATAGTGATGAACTAGCCGAAGGTTAAATTTTACTAAATAAATTTTCCTTTAAAAACAAAATTTCTTTTTGTTTTAGCTGTAAAAGCTTTAAAACAAATTGAACGAAATGAAAATTCTTCGTCTCTTCTATTAATACTATGTGAACCTTCAAACAACATCTGATAAAATTCGTCGTGCATTTATAATAAGATTTAAAAATTTTATTAAATGTGATTGGCCATCACTTGATATTTGATCATCAACAACAAATCCAATATCAATTCGTAATCATAATCCTACAAAAGAATATATCGTTGATGTAATGATTCGATCACTTGAACACATTCAACAATAATTATCTGATGAAATAACTGTTATTGATAAATGTGATTTTCCAGATCAATGATCAACATTACTTGATACAATGGCTAGACAATTTCAACAATCATCAACACAAAATTCTTTTCAATCAATCAATGAAGTTTTTGAAAAATGCTTATCGACTTGTTTGAACGATATCGTTATGAACAAAAATCGGATGAATTATGGTTGGAAATTTGAGTAATTCTTGAAAATCTGCATTAGCTTTTACTGCATTATTAAAGAGTACCTCCTCTTTCCGGACATGAAAAATTTTTTTTTCGATTTTTTGTTTTTCATTGATACATACACTTTGAAGTGTCTTCTATTCATTGAACACGTTTTGAGAATTCGAATACAGCTGCAACATTAAAAAAACACGAAGAAAATTTACATTTTCTATGTGATAATAGCAATTATTTTGTTCTGTCGAATTTTTCCCAAGATCAATTTTTCTGCGGAAAAAGTCCTATTTCGCCCCCATTTCTCCGACATGGTAAGACGTATCGAGCTGACACTTTTTCTATATATGAGACATTATTTGGCGCGATTACTTATTTTTATTTCAAAAAAATATTGCTCTGGTGATTTTTGGCAGCTTTTACAAAATTTGTTTTAGTAAAAAACTCAAATATTTTTTAGGGTGTGTCTGGTATTTTGGCTTTTTTATTCGCAGAACAAACGATATAAAGAAATCAAAAAAAAAATCCGTCCCAAAGAGTGTCTAGTATCTGTAAAAAAATTTTCAGCTCGATCGAACGTAGTGTCTCGGAGAAAAGAGGGGGTGAAAAGTGTTATGATTTTTACCGATTATGACTACAATATCTCATAGAAGACAGCATCTGGGAACTTTGAGTCTATGACAATTTTTGCTCTACTTATCAAGATCTATCAGCCCTGAAAATTTAAAAATTTTCTGTGGATTAGCTATTCTCCAGAAACCCCGGAAAGGGAGGATTACCCTTAAAGTAAAACTTCAAAAGAATAATTTTTTTTTAAAATAAATCTTTTGTTCTTCTATAGTTATTAATGTTTTATTATCCACAAAAAGAAGCTGATTTAGTTGAAATGACAAATATTTTTGATTCATTATATGTTTGTATTAAGATCTTTCATGATCTTAATGCTCAAGTAACTTGAATTTTCATTAAAATATTTAGCTTAATAGAATTCTTTTAGGAGTTATTCAAACATTTCGAAGACAATCTAACACTTTATATGATACTTTTTTCATATGATTATCTAAAACTTCATTCTGATGTATGAAAAAAGAAGAAACAGAAAATTCAAAGACAATGTAAGATATATTAGTCGTATATCATCTATTTATCTTTCTGTTCTTCCCTTGAAATTTTCGCTGTCGTACTATCGCCTTTTCTATTTGCCTCGTCTGATGATTCGTAATACCCTGGATATCGATCTATATAAGGTACGCAAGCATGATGATATATAAACGAACGCAGAGAAAGCAATTTGCACGATCATTCCTTTTAACTTTTTTTCTCGTGATTCCGAACACAACTTTCCTTTTATTTCGATATGCATTCAAAACTTGCTTTACACAATTGGTTTACTGATAAGAAAGCAATTGGTACATACCATCTTTAATGCACACCGATTTAATTGTTTTTAGGAATTCTTAGAACCAATTAATGACAATCAAATTAAATGGCACACCTATGGACCAAATTTTACTGAAGATTTTGGTTTTCATCGTGCTAGGTAATAAAGATGAAAATTTTTATTTATCTAATTTTTTTGTTTTTAGACGTTATATTGCTTTTGACGTCATTCGCCGTGTATTATCTTATTATTTTGGTTATGACATTATCCACCATATGCATATAGTTTATATTAGTGATGATGTAAATTCATTTTTATTCAATTTTTATATCTAACATAGATTTTTTCCTTAAAGATTATCAAATATGCCCATGATAAAGCTGTATCTTTTTCTTCTGGTGATGATGTTCCAGATATATTTAAGCAACTGATTAAAAGTTGTCAAACTGCACTTCACGTGAGATATCAAATTTAAAAAAAAATCAAATAAATTTATCTTTTTATAAAATGTTTTATTGATTTTACTCTTCCTTATTTATTTTATT